GAAGGTGTTGTAAGTCTTCACAGAACTGGTCAATTTCAGCCTCTTCAGCATCAGTTGTTGGTGCTTAAACGGGAATTACTGTGATGTTGAAAGGTCTACTGTACCTTGGATTCGTATTGAAATCATTTTATCATTTTGAGATTGCATCCCAGTATAGCTTTTCCCACTCTTTTGTTGACTATGAGGGCTACTCCATTTCTTCTATGGGATTCTTGCCCACAGTAGTAGATATGATAGTCGTCTGAATTGAATTTGCCCATTCCTGTCCATTTTAGTTCACCGACGCCCAGGATGTCAATGTTTATTTTTGCCATCTCCTGTTTGACCACATCCAACTTACCAAGGTTCATAGATCTTACATTCCAGGTTCCTATGCAGTATTTTTCTTTGCAGCATCGGACTTTCCTTTCACTTCCACGCACGTCTGCAGCTGAGCGTCCTTTTGGCTTTGGCCCAACCACTTCATTAGCTCTGGAGCTACTTGTACTTGTCCTCCGCTCTTCCTCAGTTGCATGTTGGATGCCTTCCGACCTGAGGGGCTCGTCTTCCAGCATCATATCTTTTAGCCTTTTGTTTCTGTTCATGGAGTTTTCTTGGCAAAGATAGTGGAGTGGCTTACCAGTTCCTGTTCCAGGTGGATCACATTTAGTCAGAACTCTCCACTATGACCTGTCCATCTTGGGTGCCTGTGCACGGCATAGCCCATAGTGTCTCTGAATTACTCAAGCCCCCTTGCCACGACAAGGCAGCCATCAATGAAGGGGTTGGGCAGTTTACAATTTTAATTATGCAGGCTACATATTGTCCCCGCCCAAAGAGCTGGGTACTCAATGTACTGACCTCGGAAGGATGGAAGGCTGAGTCAACTTCAAGACAGCTACTTGAGCCCAGGATCAAACTCAGATTGTGAGTTCAGGTGTTCACTGCAATACTGTAGTTTAACCACTGTGCCATTAGGCTCCTCAATATAATAGAAACCACCATCTTCATGGGTCAGCAAAATACCAGTACTCAGCAGACAACTGAGCAAAACTAAACCTTAGAACTATGCTCTTACCAGTCTTAAGCAAAAAATACCTGTGCAATTCCAAATGTCTGCAGTTAAAGTTCTCTCACCCATTCTCATCCTAGACTACTATGGATAGCAAAACGGTTGAACACGAGCTTCAGTAGTTAGAGGTGGAGATTAAGTGTCTTTGTCCTTAAAACAACTAGCAGTGCTAGACTGATTATATTAATTTCAACCACAGCAGAATTAAAAGAAAAATTACCTAAATGTACTTGATTTTCATAACTTATATAAACTGCAAAAATTGGACTGTCTGGTCCAGACAGGTTACATACTTCTCTGATAACACAATGATACTGTTGGAGGGCACCAATTTACTGGTTTTTAGTACTTCCTTTAACATTCGCTATTTACACTAAGAATTTGTACTGAAAGTACAGCTTACCCTCAGCAAAGTGCAGCTGTGCAAGTTGGGAGGGGAGAGTGGAAAATTTACATCAAGCAAGAAATCTTTGTTCTTCAGACACTGAGACTTATGTTGGCTGTCTTCTTCCAGCTCTCTCCAGCAGCGAAAGTGATGGAGCCTGTAGGCGGCTTTCAGAGACAGGAAAAGAGCTAACCATCTGAAACAAACCATAGCAGACATTCACAGCTCTGTGAACAAGAACTTAAAATATGCAGAAATGTAGTATTTCTCCTCAACTCCTTATCACTTATGCTTAGAGCTGGTACTTTAAAAAGCAGAAATAAACATGCAGATATTTAACCTATCCCTCTTCCTCCACTTCCAATCTCACACATTCAAAAATGTCATATGCGTATCTTACAAGGAAAAAAGCACATTTCAGAGCAGAATATAACTAAATGAGCCACACCATTTCATATGTAAAATTTGACATAGAATTGCACATCAGGTCTTTGTATAACTTAAACTCAGTAACTGAACATGACAAAACGAGCCTGAACTTTTATCAGTCTTAATTATTTGAAGTTAGAAATAATCTCTTCATAGCAAATGATTTTACAGTATGTGTAAAAATGATCCCCTTTTCCTATTAAGGCCAATGTATGGTCTGACATATATGTCTATGGTGAGAATCATACAATACACATATTCATATCCAGTGTGTATTTATACTAATTGGAAGTCTGTTTCCCCCCCCCCATAAAATGTTTGGGAAATGCCAGAAAAATTAAGAATAAGTAATGACCATGTACAGTGGTACCCTGCTGGACGATTACCCCACTTGACGACGAATCCACTTAATGTTGAAGTTTTTGCGATTGCTTTTGCGATTGCAAAACGATGTTTAGATGGGGGAATTTCGCTTAATGCTGATCGGTTCCCTGTTTTGGGAACCGATTTTTTGCTTTACGACGATCAGCAAACAGCTGATTGTTGGGTTTCAAAATGGCCGCCGGCTTAGAAAATGGCTCCCAGCTGTGTTAGGGATGGATTCCTCGCATTACAGGCACCAGAAAATAGCCGCTGTATGGAGGATCTTCACTGGACGAGCAGGTATTTCGCCCATTGGAATGCATTGAACGGTTTTCAATGCGTTTCTAATGGGGCTTTTTATTTCGCTTGACGACGATTTCGCTCTACAGTGATTTCGCTGGGACGAATTAACGTTGTCAAGCGAGGCACCACTGTACTTTTCATAGTCCAACACTGTCCATAGTTACTGAGAATAAAGTCTCACTGCATTCAGTGGGTATTGCTCTCAAATATATTTGCAATGGGATCAGGGTTCCCTCTAAGCTCGGGTGTGTGTGTGTGCATGCGTGCACCTCTGCCTCCCTCTGTGCAGCTGTCTTCCCCCTCTGCGCAGCAATTGTGTTAGGTTCTGGTCATGATGGAACCCTGCGCTTGGGGGGGGACGGAGTCGCGCATGTGCAGGAGCAAAATAGAGAGACAGAGAGGCGGAGCCCCACCCAGTGGAGCTGAAAATTAAAAGGTACATTGAATGGGATTGAACACTTAGCAGTTCTTCACTGATTTTTATTTGCTATTATCATTATGATCACTTTGATGCTTGACCACCATGGCATGAAGTAAGTACAACTACTCCCTTAAAGCACCATATAATGGCAAAAAGCATGTTTCTTTTTTACAGTCTACTGAAATGCAAACATACTTATAGATTTATTCTCTTATTAATGACACATGTGTTCCTCCAACCATTTTAAGATTTATGTTGGCATTCCTCACCTTGCTAGATGTCCCTTATGCATGAGGTTTGCCATCTCTGCTGGAGAAACATCAATAAACCGTAGGAAAGAGAAACAATTCTCTTCTTCTGTGCCTGTAATATAAAAGAAAAAGACTCAATGTTGTAATAGAATTAACAGGCATGTAATACCCTCATCTTAAGCTTTTTTACATGAAACACTCTATACTTCTGCAAACTCTTGGATTCAGCCAAGTCTGCTGTCATGTCTGTCTTGCCCTGAATGATGTTAACTGGCACACACAGAACTGGATCCACTATTAGTATAGACAGTATTTAATTTAGGTCACTAAGAGAATCTGGAGGCTTGATTATCCAGCATCTAAAACTTACAAAATGTAAGAAGGAACACAGCAGTTGATTCTTGTGGACAGCAATCACATTTCCTCACTTAATAAATGCCATTTTTCTCTCTAACAGAAAACTCACTACCAGTTATTACAGTCTAAATGCAATGCAAAATGTCTCTGTAGTCAATATGATGAAGACTACTGCTTCAACTACGATTTCTGGAGCACAGTAACAATTGCCATTTGCAGCACTATTTCTTTTAATGTAGCCATGTGTGCCAATAGATGCAAGAAATAGATGCAATGTGAAATGACAGCAGCCAACAGAGGTTAGGTAGAGTAGGAAGGAGCAGGAGAACTCCTAAACGGGAACAGGTAGGTGACAAAATACATATCACTCCTCCAATCCTAAGGACAACAGGATGTTGAGAAATGACTAAAAAATGGTAAATGACTGCAGATCACTCTCATTTCTCCCTATAACTCAATGATGCAAACACCAGATCAGTAATTCAGAGATCCAATGATTTTGGGACTGAACAAAATATAAACGTGGCACTAGAGAAGATACATTATCAGTGTCTCTTGTGCACAAAATAAAACATTTGAGCACTAACAAATTAAGCAGTAGTGTTACTGACACAGATATATGAGTTGCAATAGATACCAAAATGAAGAGAAGCCAATAAAGTGATGCAGCGGTATCACAATGGCTTCTAAGCATCCCCTCCCAATGAATGGAGTCAGGCTTGGTCTCTCATTTGCTAGAGAGCTGGCAATGATGAAAATGAATGGGACAGAGACTAGAGTGATGATGGCAGAAAACCCAGAGTGAGTCTGTTCAAACAGGCTAAAGACCACTGGAAAGCCTATTTTGTGCTGGCTCTGGCAATGAAGAAGTTTTTTCTTCTCTGTCACACCATGTCTGCAGTCATCCAGATGATCTGTCTCAAGCAATCAGGACCTACTATGTTCTTGTCCACAAGAAGAGAATGTTGATAATTCAACAGCCCACTGTGAACAATTTGCACAACACTTTGTAGATAAAATCATTCAAATCCTCTCTGACTTGGATGCTGAAGTGAACGCTGGTTTGGTGGATATAATTTTGACTCTTGCTCGCTCGTTGTTAATGGATTACTTTAGATTTCTGGAATCTGAGGATGTGGACAGGACCCTTGGAAAGGTGAAAGCCACCCTATGTATCCTGTATCTTTGCCCTTCCTGGATTAGAAAAACAGCTAGATGGGGTCTGGCTGAGTGGGTACGGGGAATGTCTCTTTGGAGTGGGGGGAGGGAAACATCTTGCCTCAAGGAAGCAGTTGCAAGGCCTCTCTGAATTCCACAATACTGGACAATTATGGACAAATCTCCAAAACTCCTTTTGTGGGCAATGTGCTAGAATGGGTCGTGGCTTCTCAGCTCTAAGGGTACCTAGATGAGATTATCTAGATCCATTTCAACTTGGCTTTAGACCTACCGTGTTTCCCCAAAAATAAAATAGGGCATTATATTAATTTTTACAGTACAGTGGTGCCCCGCATAGCGAGGTTAATCCGTTCCGGATTAACCTTCGCTATGCGAAAACATCGCTGTACGGGGCAGGAAAAGCCTATTGGGACACATTAAACTTAGTTTAATGCGTTCCAATAGGCGCCAAAACTTACCCCTCCAGCGATATTTTCGCTGGTCCGGCGGCCATTTTGGAGCCGGCCGCGGACGACCCAAAATGGCCCCCCGCAGCATTTTCGCGACCTGCACAATGGTGAAGGGTGGGATTTCAGTTAACTGGGGCTTATTTTTGGGGTAGGGCTTACCATATTTGCCGGCGTACAAGATGACTGGGCGTATAAGACGACCCCTCAACATTTCCACTCAAAATATAGAGTGGATGGCTCTGCTGCGGCGCCAGTGGCTCTGCCTAGGCCCACTCTGGAAGTTCATGGCCGGGAGGGGAAGCGGTCGGTTGGGCGGTGGCAGTGGAGGAGGAGGAGGAGGAAGAGGAGAAGCGGCCGAGCGGGTGGGGGCGGGCGAGCGAGTGGGCAGCTGGCTCAGCGGCGAGGAGGAGGGGAAGCGGCTGGGCAGGCCTGAGGAGGGCGAGGAAGAGGGGAAGTGG